CACACGGCACACGACACACGACACACACAGGTGATACGCACGTTGACGTTCGAGGGTCCTCTATGGGACATCGCCTGGCGCGACACCTTCCTGATCTGCGCGTCTTCACAAGTACAAGCATGCCGCTCGAGACCTGAGGCTGCTGCGAAACTCACCTGTGTGTGTGTGTGTGTGTCGCGTGTGTTTGTGTTCTTCGCCCACGCAGGGCAAGATCACCATGACCATTCTGGGCACCGAGAACGCATTGCCCCCGCAGGAGCTCACTTGCCCGAGCGTCAACGTAACGATACATTTCTTTTGTCACGCACGCACACGGCACACGGCACACGGCACACGGCACACGGCACACGGCACACGGCACACGGCACACGGCACACGGCACACGACACAACGCGGGGCCATCCATTACACGCGTGTTTATAAACACGACAGGATGAGGAGTTGGACCTGGTGGAGCTGGCGGAGGGCCGAGTGTGGGTGGGCGATGAGGCGACGCGGGTCCGACGCGTCGCGCTGCACCCGCGGCTGGCCACCACCTCCACCCTCCTCAGCGCGCAGTGCTCCGCGGTGCAGATCTGGGACATCGCCAACTCGGACGCGCCCCTCCTCGCCAAGCGGGTCTCGTGCCCCGCCATTTATAACTTATTATTATTATTATTATTGTTCATTTGGTATTTGTTAGTATTTGTTATTATTATTGTTCATTTGGTATTTGTTAGTATTTGTTAATTTCTGAATATTATTTATTATTGTATATTTTTATTGAATCACTGACGTGGGCCAGTAGGTGTCCAAAGATTTGGTGCTCTGCGCCGAGTGGGATCCGCACAACGACAAGATCTTTGGCGTGGCCGGTCAACGGTAACCGCACACACGACACACAACGCGACACACGGCACACGCAACACACACACACACACACAATGCCTGCTGAGAAGAGCTGAGCTGAATTGTGTGTGCCTTGTAGGGGTACCATGAAGCTGCTCGACGCACGAGATGGGTCCTCGGAATACTCGTGCGTGTGGGTCAAGAGGCAGGCCCACGCAGCGCCCATCCGCGCGATGAAATGGAACCCCTGCGTGCCCCACTGGATCGCCACCGGAGGTAACGCACACGACACACATGACACACGCACCACCGCACGTGCGGACACGGCACGACACACGCACCACCGCACACGCATACACAGTACACGGCACGTGCTGACGCGAGAGTGGTTAGGTGAGGAGGGGCTGGTCAAGTTGTGGGACTTGCGGTACGGGGCGAGGCCCGTGTGCACGATCCACGGCCACACGGGGCCGGTCAATTCGGTCGACTGGAACGCGGCACACCCGGACCTGCTGGTCTCGGGCGGGTCCGATCGGAGCCTCCGCGTGACCTCGCTCACCGCCGACAACCTGGCCGTCATCGGCTCCATGTCCTGCGGCACCCTCACCGACCAAATAACACAAGGTCAGTACACAACACACACGGCACACGGCACGACACACGACACACACGGCGCACGACACGCACGGCACACACAGGACAAGGACTGATGGAGAGGTGTGCAGTGGGCTGTTCGGGATTCAGTCGAGACCGGTGTGTGGCGGCCACGGCCAACGGCGTGATCCACACGGCCCGCTTTGGCCCGGGCTTCTTTTGAACCCCTCACCCAACAGCTCTCCCGGTACGCGCTCAAATGAC